AGAATGATTTTTTACTACGTGCAGTAGTAAAACAACATATTATGCAATTCTATTTTTCAGGGAGAACACTATGTAATTCATAGACTTTGCAATGCCACATTTTCTGTTCAACAAATACAAAAAGTGGCTTCTCTATCCCTTGTGGGTAGACATCTAGAAATTTTTGTTCAGCAAATGATATTCCAACTTATTTATTTGGGGTTTTGGAGATTTAACTATTTCAAAAGTGACTGCATAATGTAGCAATAAGCAGTTTCCAAACTGTATTTTTATCTCTGTCATTCAAGAACCTGGCACACAGAGGGTTGATAGCTTTTATCCTTTATTCCAGTCAAAAAATTCAGGTGAGGACACAACATACTATGACTAGCTTGCAGCCCAAGAGATCTGATATATAAGGAAACTCTTTCCATAAAATGCACATGATGGATTAGCAGCTGTGTTGAAATAACTTGTTGGCAATGTACTCACTAGGATGATTTTGAAGATTATGCCATCTTCCAAGGAAAGCTTTCAGAAAAAAAAGCTTTTTCTAAAGCCAATCTCTGAAAGAGTTAGTTGAAAGTACACTTTTTAAATTGATGCTTTTGTTTTTTAACTTGAAAATCATAATTCCAAAGACTCACATCTAAAGAATTGTCTTTAATGTGTAACTGGGAATATTTTCCCAAAGAATTCCCTTACCTATAACTCAGAGATTTGAAACATGCTGATAAGGAAGATATGATTAGACTACAGAATGTCTTCTTCTCATGCTTAGCAATGGTGCTAAAACAAAACACAGCTGATCCTCCTCCAAGTCATGAAAATCCATTTGAAATCTTTCTAGACAGGTTCATGTCTTTGAAAGGGAGGCTCAAGACCCTAGCAATAGCTGGTGAAAGAAAAAGTCCAGAACTTCTGTAGGCTGGTCAGGATTGACAGGTAGTGAGCAGTGACGTTTCAGGTGTTCACTGAAGATATGTCCATGCCTTCCCCTGGAAAGAAAAGTACTACATCAGTCCTTCCCTCTGCATCTGGATGTCCTTGTTTATCCCAGTTGACCCCCAGTTGATCCCAGCTAGCAACTGAGAGAGGCATCAGTGGCAAAAAAGATAATTACATAGAAAATAGAGCAGGCTGTACAATTTACAATCGTAAAACACGAGAAAAGGATACCATGAGACACTGTCAACCTCAGCCATCAGGCCAGCACTCTAGACACAGCTGACCTTGGCTGCAAGAAGGCAATGACTGTTGCAGTGGAGGTTTGTCCAGATTGTCTAGGGAGATATGATCTATGATTTCCTTATATGTGTCTGTTGGGACCAGAATATCTTCCTCCAATATGGTTCTGGAGATCCTGATGGTGTTAAAAACTGTGAAAAGGACCAGTTGGTATCAGGTTAAAGTGTGAGGACTAGAGTTCACAATTCCTGTATCTTGCTGTCTGTTTCTGCACAGACAGGAAGGCTGCTGGAGAGGCTATGCCTTTGTCCTGTTTGTGGTTATGTGAGCCTAATGTTTCCACAGCCCCAAAGGTGCTGGAATAAATACACTCTAGACTGAATCTACTGGATCTTGTAGCAATTTGTACCTTCTAAGACGACACATCACAGCTATCAAGTGGGACGGGGCTGTGCTCAGGCACAAGTAGGAGGGAGTGCTAAGCATACCACACCATGTGGCAAAAAAATGAATTTCTGGCCTGCCTTGTCTCTGCCTCTTTACTTTAAATAATGCTCTTAAGAAAAATTAAAAGATAAAGCATAAGAGGAGATACTACAAGAGACAGAAATGATGCTCTTCAGTTTGCATTTTCCTCTAGCTGGCCATAGTTCCAGAAGGTTTATGATGGAATTGAGCAACCTTTCCAGAAGACAAAGGGGTATTTTGCCTCTTATACAGTCCATCTATTCATGAACTGATATTCTTTCAGCTCTTTGCTCTAATCCTTCCAATTCAGATGGGATTCATAACTTCTATTGCAAGAAGACCTCCCTTTCAGAGGGTTCCCTCGCATCTGTTCTCCTTGAGCAGTATTCCTTTTGGCTTGAGTTTCCAGTTGGAGCTTTGTCATCCTTCCCATAAGTATTCAGTATGCAGCCCCATAGACATCAGTGACATAAATTCCTGTGGTATTTAGTAATAGGTGAAGAGTACTGACAATATACTGGAGTCCAAGTGAAGCGAATGACTTACGATATGTCACATTAAATGCTCTAAGAGAAAGCTGCTTTAATAGTCTTCTATACTGTGCTTACACAAGGTAGGATGGTATCTGGCGTTATATGGGGCTTCAATTAATTGCTGCATTTGAAACATTTTGATAAATGCAAATGTGCAAATGTGTACTCACCCTTTGTACTGAAAGCATCATCTGCTGCACTTCAGATCAGATTGGAAACCAACTGAGTTCAGTTGGCTTCTGCTGTTCAACCATGCAAGGACCAGCAGACTGAGAAACAATCTAAAAGGAACAGAACCAATAAAGTACCTCTTTATCTCCTCTCACTGCTGTTACATGTCTTGATATTGAAAGTCCCATATTCTTTTTTTAAATCCGTATATTACATCATCTCCACTGTGATTTCAGGAGTACAGGCAAGCTTGGAGGATCTTTTGAAGCAGGTTATTTACTCAGTGATATTTCCATGGCTTTGTATTGTAAAGATCTCCATACCCTTCCAGAAACTTTAGGAAGTTAATCTTACTAAAAACTCAAAGTGACTTCTGATTGACCTCTACATCTTCTGTCCACTATTTGTTTTGAAATCTTATAATTTGTATTGTGTCCAGAATTTTGCCTTGACATGTGGTACAATTCCTTTTTCCTAACTAGCTGAGTAGAATTTCTTGGATCCGACTGCTGCTGTGAAATCTCTATGTTAATTTCACATTCACCTTCTGGAAATATTTAGCAATATTTAATTAAAATTTACTCTGAATATCCCTTTTTGCAAGACAGTCTACAAGAATCCTTTACGGGTGAACCTGCATGAAAACAGACCGAATCATTTAATTTGGCAAAACAGAAAGCTTTTCATAGAAAGTTGCTTGCCTGCCTCTGCTGCAATACACTGTACATACTATGTTGCTGTAAGATACTCAGTAAGCCACTTAACTTTACAAGTTTAATACTACACTGTCAGTTAAACACTTTTCCCCTCTAGATTTTGTTCTTTTTTTGGAACATGTTTAGGGACAAAAGTTTTAATTTCCTCTTAAACTAATTGAAAGGGATAGTCTGTGTCTTTTGGTAACCTTTTGGTTGAGCCTTAGTGGAGAAATAATGCAGATAGGAAAAGAACATTAAAGATACTATATGGCTGAGACAGTTCAGGATTTCTCTCTTCAGAACCGATTTCATATTTGCCAAAGAATCCACAGCCACTTTACAGTATCTCTTACTATCAATTGGAGAACTGTTCCAAGACATCTTCCAGGCTGAGAACAGTAGAGATGCTCTGCTCACTGGCAGCATTAAGAAACTATGTTCTTTGGCAGACACATCATCTTCCAGTATAAATCTGTGGACCGGGATAGACGTGAGGCTTTCCCAGATGGTGGGAAAGCCTGTTACTCTGCCGTTCTTGGTACAGCTGGATTTTAAGCTGGTCCCTACATCTTTAGGAAGCTGAAAGAAACAGAGACAAGGGCAAAAAAAAATCATTGACTAGACTGAAGGTCATCTCCCAGGGTGACTGAGCTCAGCAGATCGCCTCACCAATGCCCCAACCTGAACTGTGCAGACAGTTTTTAAAGCTGTTGTCCAGTGGCTGCAACAAGTGAGTGTTTGGAGTAATTCCAGACTAGGAATTTTCAAGGAATGCCATGTGAAGGAGGTGGTAAACGTTTTCTACCAACAGATACAGAAAAACTTGCAGATAAAACAGACGCTTTTGATTTGCCCAATATACCCTGCACAAACTGAATTCATTCTGAACCATCTGACCCCTTATGGAGGCTAGAGGGAATAATTTCATTGTGCAAATTCCTTGTTAAAGCTTTGCAGTTAAATTTTGTGTGTGAAATAAAAGTACATCTGTGTTTAATTTTGCAAGTTTGCCATACATCATAACCTCAAAAGAACCCCTCAAGATCATGCAAATTAAAAGCAAGTATGCAGATGATTTGCATACATGTTTTTCTGGGTTAGACATTCCATCGGAATGCATTGGCAGTGAGTGGCTGTGACTAATGTAACAGAGCATTACATTTAACGTGCTGCATTATACAGTTTTATGCACAGTAATGTAATAATTAGTTTGTCAAGATATCACGCTCAGTTCAAATTTAAATAGTGTTGCTCTCTGCTGGTTAGTCTTGTGAACTACATATTTCTTAATGTGAAAACTGCCCATTAAATTGTTCTCAGAGGTAGGATTTCAGGTCCCATTCTACCAGCTGCTATACAAGCAGAGTAATTGTGTGAGAATCTAAGAAGTACATGCAACAACAAATCACTTTGATCCCAGCCACTCTTCTCTCTGGCAGATGTTATTTAAAAACAGCCTTAGAGACTTAGATCTTATTCTACGGGATTTCTGCATGGGTCCTCATTAACCCATCTTGTATTTTTGCATTTGATAGTTCTTAATATTCTTTTCTATTCCCTCTTCGTCCTAGATTTCCCATCTCCTGAATAAGTATTCTGAAGAGCAATATTAAAGGATGTTTCTCTTACGCTTACAAAAAAAGTAACAGCCCAAACAACATTTTCTGAAGAAAAGGAGCACATTAAATATGCTTTGATTTTACCACTTGGACTGAAACTTTAGGAGGATTTTTTCTCTGGTTATTCTACCAAAACCTGACTGAGATCTAGAATTCTCAAGTGCAGTGCCAAAGGTATTCACCATGTTTGCAGGTACAATCCTATATGCTGGGCAAACTGCAAAGCTTAGGTAAATGTCAGGTCTTTAAGTAGCAAAGAAGGATTTTGGTTTGCATGTGGACATCTGAATTAACTTTAATCCCTGCTGACCAAGTTGTTGACATCTTGTTTTTCTTATACACAGGTGAGGAGGCTGGAGAGAAGACGAGGTAATAAGACCATGCAAACCATTCTGTAGCACAGAGCAAAGAGTGATTTTCTTTTTCTCTGACTCTATCACAAACAGTGCACAAGAGAACAAGCGAAAAAACCTGAAATTTGTCAAGAAGTGTGCTTGCTGTTCACACTGATCATAATGTTTACTCTGGTAATCTTGCAAGTTTTGCTGATTTTGCTCTTAGAAGTACAAGCTCTGAGAGATATCACCTTTAAGTTATTTTCATCCCACTTAGCTAGGATATGTATCTTAACTCATTTTAATGTATGTATTGTTTGTTGACTGTATGAAATGAATACCTGACATTTATCCTAGAAAGTTGTTAGATGATTATAGATAAAGCAAAATTTTCAGCGTAATTATTAAATAAAGTATCTGTGGGATTTTTTAAAATTGTGCATTCTTTAATTTACTGCAATTCAATGTTTTAAATTCAAATATTATGGGCTATGGTGTCAGTCTTTCCCTGGCTTATGTTTTCAAGTACCAAGAACATTACAATCCAGAGCTTTCGTATCTGATCCTGTTTATGTCACTAGCAAAAGCTCCTTGCTGTGTTTACTTCATCACAGATGTGCGTTATAGGATTTTGAAGAGATCTTCAATATCTCTTGGTCTATTTCTCCTTCCAAACAGACAATCCCTGCAAGTGTTCTGATTTTAATTTAAATTATATGCATCAGTTGCTGCCATAAAACAAGTTAGTCTTGGCCCTGATGTTATAGGTTGTCAGGAAATATTTTATATGGAGAAACAATGAACAATGAATATATGATATAACTTGTGGAAAAGTTGTGCTCCTGCAGTTCTGACTCAGACATTATTTCCACTTATTATGGTCTTTGCTGCCAGTGTTTTCCAAAATGGCAAAATCAGAACTCAAGAAGAAAATATGAGTGAGGGACAGCATGTACTCAGAGCAGCCTGAGGGTTTATTTTGGGCTGTAAAACAGGGACACTTCAGCAAAATTTAAGTACATAATATTATGTGACAAATCTCAGACCAGGACAGGGAGTGTGCCACATAATTTTACTTTAATACTTTAGTACATAATTTTACTTTAGTACAAAGAAGTGTAATTTAAAGGTAATAGTGGAAGACTAAGAGATTCAGAAAATATAGAAAAATTGCAGGGGTGTGAGATAGCTAGTTTTTTCCCCTTTACAGCAATCACATAGTAAAAAAATTGGGATTTTTTTTTCTTTTTCTGTAAACATAGCTAACTCCTTTATTCCAATTCAAAAGTGTTACATTTGACTAAGATAACTTACATTGGTCATTTCACTTGGGTTCCTGACTAACAGTCAGAGCCACTGGTGTATCATGCCTTTTCCTGCTCACTGGCTACTGCCTAGGGGCAGCAGTGGTTCTCTGCAGTCACCATCTGCCTTTCAACCTTTTATACATCTTTATACTTTTTTAAAGCAGCTGGAGACCTTCTTATTCTTTAAGGTTAACTCAATGTAAACAATGAGAGCACAGAGGAGTAACTGCATCTTTACCATGAAGAAAAATCTACATCTTCTCTATAAAAATTCAGGCTTTATCTTTATGCCAAAAGGATCTTGCTTCTGAAAAGGTCTTGAAAATCTTTTTTTTAGCTAACTGGTTTTTATCTACATTTAAAAATACCCAACCCAAACCTTACAAAAACCACAAACAAACAAACAAACATAATCCTTCACCAAACACATTTTATGTAAGAAACACTGTAATTTGACTGTGATAGAGTTTCATATAAGTATGTTGAACTGAATTGATGGAAAGGGAAATGAAATACAATAGCATTTCTTTCTTAAATAGAGCTACATATTACTATGAGAAAACTAGTTAACAGCAAGTTAAAAAGGAGAAGCTAGAAGACAAATTTTTTATAGCTCACATGGAGAAAGTTTAAAACCACCACATCTGAGGATTGCAGCTAATGAACAGTGCTAATTAAACAGAACCATTCAATGAAAACAGAACCATTCAATGAAAATCCAACCACAAAATAAAAAGGATTCAGCTTCATGAAACAGCCAAATTAAAGACGAAAGTAGCTCTTAAAAATACATCTTCCCAAATAGGTGGAAGTCATATATAGTTAGGGAAAACAGAAAAGGGCATAACAGCTACCAAAGGAAGAGCAAAAAATACTAAAGATGGAAAAAAATGGTGGAATTTTGGGAAGCTGTGAAGAGGCAACTGCCAGAGAATTTTCATTTTGTTCACAAATGATCAAGATGCAACAGGAATTCTTAAGCAGCTTGGAGGAAAGTAATCTGAAATCTTGGCATTATCTTCCATGACAGAGGAACTGTTTTGGATAATTGATGAGAGCAGACAAGACATCAACATGCTGCTTTGAATGATACATATTTTGAACAGTGTGTAGATCTGGTCCTTCCATACAGTAGAACTGGAACTAAAGTAGGTAAAGTAGATCTAGGAAAGGTATAGAGAAGAACAAGGATAACCAGAAATTTGAAACAGTTGTTCCACATAAAGCAACAACAAATAAAGGACTTTTCAACTTGGAAAGATCTATAAGGATATGAATTGTGAAATAATAAAAAGGAAAACTGTTGAGCTTTTCTCTCTATAGACAAGTGTGGAGATGTGGAAGTTTCAAAGCAATAAAAATAAATAATTTTTAGAAGTACCTTTCCCAAACTTAAATAAAAATACATGACTCAACTCATTGGTAGATTATACTGAGGTGACAGAGGTGACAACAATTCCGTGTAAACAAGCAAGCAAATTTAGTTAAGAAATAAACAGATTCACAGGGTAGAATCTCCACATGCCAGTCTGGATCAAAACATCAGTACAGGAAGTCTATGAACATAAAGAAGTAGGGAAAGTATAGCAGGGGAAACACAAAAAACAGAGTATGTTAATATCTGAAACAGTCTGTAATACCACATTTTATGTTCCTTATCAAATTGTCCATTTTTTTATCCTTAGCATAATTTAGGATCAATGCTTATGTTCTCCTATATATTTGTTGTTCAATACACACACCAGTAAAAATTTTGTTGGCTATGCAGAATTTTTGTGGATGTTGCCAAGATTGGAATGTTTGATGGTGAATTAGACACTGATGGCTTTCCTGTCTTTCACTCCTTCCTTTCTATTTGTCTTGAACCATGTTTTGCCAAAAAGAGCAATTTCATTTCTTGAATAAAAATGTTTCATTTAACCTCTTGATTTTGACTTGTTCTTCGCTTTTTTTTTCTGTAGTTTTTGATCTAAATGTGTGCTTTCTCTTAAGTTTCTTTTCCTACATCATTCCGTTTGCTTCCCTGCATAGAAGGCTTGGCTGGAATCTAGCTGAAATAGCCTGCTACAGCCTCTTCCAGCAGGAAGCACAGAGCCATCCCCAATACATAATGGTCAGTAATGATTGATCTATTGCTGCCTCAGCACAGACCTTTTACAGAGACCTGTTTTCCACTGTTAACCTACACATAGCTGGATCAGCTCCACATCTGAAGGAACATGGCTTTGTGCTCATAAAATGAGAGAGATTATCTTTCAGCTCTTTGGAGTGCTCACTGCCTAACAGACTTTGCCTTGGACCTCAGACTACCAAAATTTATGTAATCACAGAAGAAGCAGAGACCCCTCCACCTAGGAGATGGAATGTGTACCTTCCCATCAGCATTTCCCGTCATCACCTTTCTCCCCTGCTTGTCTTACCCCTCATGCTTGGCTTTGGTGGGGTTTGTACCCTGAGTTTGAAATATTCTTTGACAGTCACCATTGCATTTTCTGGCCTGCTTTGTAAATTCAGGCACTTACGACATTGGGACATTTTATGCTGACAACCTGATGTAAAATGAGATCCTCCACATGAAAACAACTCTCAGGAGAGCAAGTTCCTTCCAACTGGCTTCATATTTTGTTTACTAAAGCAGTTTGATTGTCTCTGAGTTATACTCACATATCTTGTAATTTTTCAGTACTGAGCCTATTACTTTTGGTAATTTCAAAGTTTTGGGCCAGGTTAAATTCTCCTCTGCCAACAATCATCCTTTGAATTCTCTCCTTATTAATACCATAAACCAATTTATATAATAGCATTCCCTCTAGGACATTTGCAAATGAACAACATTCAGTGAGCCTTCTTTCTACCACATGGAGCTGCTGTTTCTTCTTGTGTCTCAAATTATTATGAAATTTATCACATTCTACAGAAACACTTAGGTTTCGTGAGTCAACTTTTAAGATCTTTCGTAACTCTTCTAAACTATTACTGTGGAAAGTGGGACTGGAATAAGTCTTGTCCTGGAGCATCCTTCTGCCCTAAGACAAGAGGAGTTCTACCTGATTGAGCTGTTGTTGTCCTATGATTGTAACAAACTGAGTAGGAGGAAGTTTTATATTGCTATTGATTTAAAGTTTTTCTTTATCTGCAGATCTTATCTACAAGAATAGAGACATTCCAGCTTGCATAAATTGCTGCCAGCCCTTATTTGATTCATTGTCTGTGTTCAGCCTTGAAAAACAAAAATTACTGTTGCAATTATTACTTCCCCCTCCCACACCGAATTTGAAATGGATCAAGTGGCTGCAGTTCAGAACCTATTTCCTCCTACAGCTGAGCTGGTGTGCAACTGCTGGGTGCTCCTTTTGCTTACCTGTAGAAACAAGTTTGCTGCTCTGAGCCCTGACTGATTCTTGGTGTTTGCTGCAGAATCCCAGTTCCAGTGCCTTTCAGACACAGCTCTGAGCCTGGTGCTACAGAATGTCTTTCTCTTGGCAACTCTCCTCCCTTGTTTCAGGAAGGTAAATTTCTCTTTAGTCATAAAGAGGACAGATATAGCTGGGACAGAAGCTCTGGAGCCCAAATGGGTCAAACACCTAACTATTTTGCCCAAGCTGTGTGACAGTTTCAGAAAAGAGTCTTAAGGCTCTTAGTAGTTCTAATCTGCTTCTACTTCTACTTCTGCTTCTACTTCTACTTCTAGTACTTCTGCTATTGAAAGCAGACTATGTATTTGGCTGGATAATTTTTATATCTCCTTTGGCCTCGTCTTTTTCAGCCTCTTAGTTACTCAGAGAGACTTTACCAAGGTTTTGTGTCTGGTCTTACAGATGTAACACAGAGCTCAAGGGAGATGACATATTTTGGATCTGGTTTAGACTTGGCTTCTCAAGGAAATGTTACTGTTATGATTTTACTTTGTAACTCAATACCATTTTTATATTCAGCTCTGAACTCTGTAAATGCTAAGGAGCAAAGCTTTCCTACTTCCCCAAGAGGTGCAGCACAATTTTATGAACATTGAAGGTAAAGAGTAAAGTAGTAAAAAGAATTTATTGACAAAGTCCATCTTAACCTGGACTGTCTCTGCTGATTTAATCACTAGAAAAAGCCCATCTCTTTTACCCTGTAAGTACCTTCCAGCCATCTGAAAAATCTTCTAGCATATTATGCAGACTGCAGGAGGGAGGAGGACAGATGTACTGCAAAATCTCTGTGGTCTGGATAGATGAGCCTTTGACTTTTTAACAGTGCTCACAAAGATCTTCTGCACTGTAACACTTTTCGCTGCTGCACATGGACTGTATATTCTAGATTCAATAAGAATTAGATAAAATATCCAGCTTATTATTTAGCTGCATCAGAATTGTCCACCTTACATGCCACTTCATTGGCCTTATTTTTATGTATGCTGTTGAAAAGCACAGAGTCCATAAAAGAGTGGTATTAGTTCTGTACAACATCTTCATCAGCGATTGGAGGAAGGACATGCCCAGGGAAATTTACATGTTTGCACCTGACATTAAACATTTTTTTGGATCATCTGATACCCTGCTGGTAGTGAAGAAGATCAGAAAGACCTCACCAAACAGAGAGAATGGGAAGGTAGGAGGAGGGGGTTTTCAACTCAGCAGTGTTGCAAACATAGGGTTAGGCATCAAAGGAACAGCAGTCTAGTCCACATCCACATTTGAACAGGCTTTGAACAGGCACACAGAAGCCTTCCTGCCTCCTGCTGCTCTACCAGCCTTGCTGATCTGAATGATGGAAGGACGGGTTCTCCTGGCCCTATAGCATCCTGTAAGGCTGAGAGCAGTGCTCAGGGCTACTCTGTCAGTGTTCTAGCAGGACCCCATCTAGGCTTTCTTCCTGGGATGCTGTAGCACAAGAGGTTGAAGTCCAGTCCTCACAAAAACTTGATTATCTTCTCACATACCCTGCCATGTCCACACTGTGCAGTTTTACCATTATCATTTCTTATTGTAGGAGAATGGACAGATGTTGCACATACTGGGTTGATTCATCTTCCCTTAGAAATATTATTGTAGAGCCCTAAACTAAGTGTGTATGGAGAATACAACATAACATAACATAACAACAACATAACATAAAAGCACACCAAAAAAGACTGAATTTTAGACTACTGAGAGGGTTACAAAATGTCAGACAAAAAATAAGAGATGCTGTATTACAAGAAAGAGATGTACTAAACACATATTTACCTCTTTTGGCAGACAGACAGACAACAGAAAAATCATCAGAGGCTGTCAACAGTTCATTTTTAATAATAATGGCAGTGATCTTATTTTATTCTATTGCCTTGTCCCTCAGGTTCTAATAGATCTTCTTTGAATATAAATTCAAATGACTTGCCAGATGATATTACTATATTGTTTGATGTTGTTAGCAAGTTATTTTTTTACCTTGTAAATAATGTACCCTCTCTTTCAATGCCCCCTGTATAAGATCAACTCATAGTGCAATTTGCTTTGCTTTTTCCTTGGATGGCTGATAGCAATCAGGCACTTTGAACAATCTATGTAGGTCATTGCAAAGCTAATTAATCCTGCTTTTCAGGCTGAAAATTATTTTCAAGGAAATGTGTTCTAAAACAGCTGTCCTGATGATTTTAAATAGGTTCTAATAATATGCACATTTAGTGCCTTACCAGTCTTTCTAAAAAATAAACTTGATTATGATTCATTGACAAGACTGAAGCAGAAAGTGGAGGGTTACAATTCTGGCTATGTATTTCCTGAGCAAGGGAAGGAAAATTGCAAAGCTAATCGGTTTCTGAATGAGCAGTATAAAAGAAAACCAGTAAAACAAGGGAGCAAAGGAAGATAACTGGATTGGTATATTCTTCCAAGAGGGAAGCATTTGAACTGTAGCTTTAAGGAGGAACTATGTCAATGCAATAGCTTTGCCAGGCTTAACATGGGAGTTTTCATCTTTCAAATGCTTTTCCTGTTGTATCTGACTAAATTTTAAAGATCTCTGGATTCAGAAAGCTATAGAGTTTGTGCTGAGTTTTTGGTTTATACCAGTACTGGATCACCACTTTTAATTTCATTTTTCCGTGAAGAGCCTTTTTTTTCTTCAAAGAATTATGCAGGAGGGCAAAAGAGAAATTAATCTATGCACTCCCAAACATGGTTGCTGCAAAACTGTCTCCCTCTGTCTGCTAAGGTGACAATGGCAGCCTTGCCAAACCCAGTATTGGTTGCAGTTGCTTGTTGATATAAGACAATTGATAGCCAAATTTCATGCATGCAACAGCAACAAGCTGCTTACCTGATACAATTCACTTGGGTTACTTTTTTAGCAGATGCATTAGGGAGAGCAATCAAAGGATTAAACATGGTTATCAACACACTAATACATTGGACAACCATGCTAGGCACCAAGATATTGTTCAATCTACATCCAACACAGTATCTCCAAAACTCCTGGGGGCTGTGTTTCTCAAACTGCTTTATGGATCACTGGTAGAATTTAATACATCAGTCTGTGAAGTTTGAAAGAAACCACACATATTCCCTCTACTTCTAAGAAAATAGACTTTCATTTCGTAATAAATGAACATTCAAACTTTAGCCTAATTTTAAACTGCTTGTAAATTAAGACAATTGTGGGAACACTGTAGACATGGTCTGTGTTTTTTTTTTTTCCTGAAAACATCCTTACAGTCATTCAATTAAATGAAGTTAAGAAGCACTGGCCTACTGAATAGATCTTTAAAATCAAACTGTCAGCAGGAATTACAACACGTGGAAATAAAAGATGTATGTTTCTAGGTCAGACTGTCTGCAGTGTTGGATTCACAAATGAAAAATGAGTGTAAAGAGGTTTTATATAAAGAATGAAACATGCCTTTCCTGTCTTCTGACAGTGGCTCCCCCAAACTTTTTGTTGGGGTTATGTTCCAAGCTCATA